TTCTTTTGAACTCTTCTGTCCTACAGGGATCAACATCCTTTGCAGCTGCATGTACACAGGCAGATTTCACACTGACCACACAAGGGGAAATGTTTCTTGAGAACAGTCTCTACCATGGTGCATTTGTCCAGAAAATCTGGAAACTGAGGCTCTTGAATGTAGTTTTCTGCTTTGACTTTTTCAGGGTAATCAGGTCCTTCAAGTCAATACCCTTAAATAAACTCGTTTTGACACTTTTGGAGGCTTTATGTGAGTGGTTAAGAACATCCTGCCAGGTGCCCACAGTTTGGCAGTACATATCTGATGTGACCTGAGGGTCTGGTGGAAAGACTTCTGTTATCTTAATTTCTTCATCTAGAAGAGAGTCAATCAAAACTATGGTGGCATTCCAGTAGTAATGGTTTCTTTCTTGTATAGTTTGAGGACTGTAAGGGAGAATTATTAGACTTTTAAACATAGAATGTGAAACTCTCATGGCAAACGTCCCCCAAACCTGAAAAATGTCATTATTAGAGCAGTATTTGGAGTGTAGAAGTGTTCGTTCCCATCACTCTGTCACAATATCTCCATCAACGATAGAGCTCTCTGCAACACAGAAATGTTCTGAGTGAGGTTCAGTAAGGTCAGTGAAAGCCACATGTGGCCATTGAGCACTTGGAATGTGACTAGTATGACTAAGGATCTGAACATTTAGATTTTCATTAAAGAATTTAAGTAGACAAGTATGGCTGGTAACTACTGTAGTGAGCAGCATCGTTCCTCCAGAAAAGCTCTCTGTTGGGATCCTATGAAATCAACAGGAAAGGTCTTGGCACTTTGTATACTAGGATGTACTGGCATCAGTCATAGCAAGGAGGCTACAGCTCCTGAAAATCTCTGAAGCTGGATATTAATAATTTTGTGCCTACAGTGGCAAAATTTGGGATAAGTGAGTCCCATCAATGTCTCAAGGTTTTGTGTTCCTCACTGTATTTAGTTTTGTGTTTAATTCCTTGTCTTGTCTTTCCTTTTCAGTTCCTTGACCACCAGTCCGATACCTGTTCCTGCTCTTTATGTAAGTAAAAGTGGCTTCTTTACCCTTAAGTGTTGGATTTGTGAAGCTCTGGTCTTGGGTGTCACATTTCCTAGTTGGTTTCACTGTGGCGTCCAGTGTCCATTTAGTATGCATTAGTGTTTTTCCTGCTTGGAACCAGTGCTGGTAGTGTGGTGGTGAGTTGTCCTCTGTGAGGGAGCCCAGCAGCACAGCCGCTGCCTTCTGAAAAGACTGCCCTTTCCCTCTCCGCAGCTGCTATTTGCAAAAGTCGTTGCTCTTCTGAACTGAAGCTTACAGTCCACGGCCAGATCTCAGCAACAGTTGGGCTTTGCTCTACTGTCAATCAATGGGCAATTATTTATTCTCCAGTTATTCGCTCGTCCCTGGGTCCAACCATTTTTAATTTTAACTTCTAGATCAGAGCTTTCATTTATTGACAAAATTTATAATATCCTTTTACAAAGAAGTACAAGACTGAAAAGTAAATAGGCTAAAATTTGTGCAAAATTATAAAGTCTAGGAAGAAAAAGAAAAGAAATCCAGGATTCACATGTGCCAGAAAGTTTATAGAATGTACAATTCCTTTCAAAAAAAGATGGGAAAATTTGGGGTGGTGGGAGAAAGAAATGGGGGGAAAAACTTGATTTTAAATGAAAATGTGAACATTTATTATTTAAAGACCAAACTGGGCCACACTGAGCAGATTTGGATAAATGTTATTTTGGACTGCTTGGAAAAGGTTCTGGGGTAATGAAACCAAATAATCAAGTCACTACCAGAGACACCCCCTCAGAAACCCTCCAGAGAAAGGCAGTTAGCACCTTCCTAAGTAACCATAGGTGTCCCTGTAGCCGCATCTCCCTCAGTCCCTCGTTCAGGTTACGTCACTCTGTAGTAGTTCCTATGCTGTAGTGATCTGCATCAAAAGAGCTCTCTGGTCCCACTTGTGTATGGCTTCTACTAACATTCCTAAAACCTTGTGGCAAACATATTGAAGGAAGCAGAACTCCCCAAAAGATGCTAAAGTTGTGTGGCACTTTATCTGATGCGGAAAGGAGACTGATTAGACTCCTCAAGGACTGGTGCTGTGTGAGACCACAGGGGAGGTCCTCCCAGCCCCTAAGCCTTCTCATCCCCGTTCTCAGTGTTGATAGAGTGCGTCTGCTGATGCTTTGGAGGATGTCGGTGGCCATGCTCATGGTCACCACTGTGTGTCTTCCTGTCCTTCCCCTCCGTTGTTACCTAGCACTGCATATTTCTAGTCCTCTGACTGGCAAATCTTTTTGTAGCTGTTCTTTTGTGTAAAAACAATTCACATAATAGCTCAGTGTTAGACGAGGCATTAATCCTCACATCACCAGGATGAGTCAGCACGACATACTCCTGCCTGCCTAGCTCAGCTATTATGACGTCAGTGCTTTAGGGCAAGCTTCAGACACAAACTGTATAGGAGACCTGTCTCACCTAGTAGAAATCAAGGGGGAGACCTATAATTGAAAGGCTGTGTCTGCCTCGTGGGAAAAATGTGAAACTAATTCTGTGCTACATCAGTAATCAGCAGAGCAGCTTCAAGTAGATCCTTTTTTTATTTATTATTTTTTTTCTTTATCTTTAAAGCAGAAGTAAGGCTGGGAAAACAAAAACCTGTAACAAGCTAATAGTCCATTCATGACCTTGTCCCACCCCAGGCCAGGCTTCATGCTTGCTTGACTTGTTAGAAATCCTCCAGTTGCCTTTATGCCAGCAGGATGACAGGGCCAGTAACAGTCCTGTGTCCTCAAGTGCCCCCGTGGACACAGCTGATGGAGCTGATGGCTGCAGGGGTGGTGCCCTAGAGGCCAGTCAGAAGCAAAGGGAAAGTTCCTTGGGAACAAACCCGGACATTATCCCCCAGTGCCTCTTGTCCCAAGTGCCTCTTCAATGACCTCCTCTGAACAGGTGCAAAATTCGGCCCATTTGACCTTCTGTCCTTGGCACTGCATCCAGTGTCCGAATCTGGAATTGACCCAGATTTAAATAGGAGTTGAATAGATGCCACACTTTCCTGCAAGAGTTTTCTGTCCCATTATTCTTCAGCAGAAACTGAAAGGAAAACCCCACAACCTGCCATGCTGCCTTGAAGCAGATGAGAAAGTCTAGCTATGTTTGGGAAGCCCAGTTCTCGTAAGCTAGGCCTCTATTCAGACTCAGACACATTCTCAGGACAGTACCTTACAGTATTAAAAGTTAATCCCTGGAAGGGTGATAATGTATTCCCTTCCTGACATCCCTGTTAAAAAGAGATGCTCCAGTGCAGCCTCCATCCCTCCCTCTTACTCTCACCCCAGCCTGCCACCAGTGCTTCTCCACTGGGATTTTCCGCCTTCGTTAGATTGCTGGTAGTCTCCTACCATGCTTCTGAGAGCTGCTGCCACTGCTTGGTGTGGTTTTGATTAATTATGCACAGTTCTTTATTTAGTTTTCAGTCAACAAACGTTTATAGAAATCTTGTAACAGTGCTTGGTTCTGGGAACTCCAAGACAAATGAGAAATGCCACCTTTCATTAAGAATGGCACCGTCTGGGGCTAGTGGTCTAGCTCAGTGAAGTGGAACGGGAGCGTAGGCCTGGGCTAGACCCACAACAATGCAAAAAGAGAAAGAAAAAAAGCCCTCACAGTCTGCTGGCGCAGAAGAGCATGTGAGTCAAGGCTGTCTTGTGACAGGCACTGGAATGCAGGTATCTACAAGTGCCTACCCATATAGAAGGTTCAAGCTGACTCATGATGTGAAAGTAGTGAGTAGGGGTTTACCAAGTGAGCTCAGGGGGAGAGAAAAGAAAAGGGCGCATCGTCAGGGAAAAACAAGAATATTTCAAAGTGAGGAGGCTGAAGTAACCGCCAGGTCCAGGTACCGAGTTCTCTGGTGTGCTAGAGCATGCTGGACTAGCAAGCAGGCTAGTTGGGTCAAAGGGCCTCTGATGCCAAGCAAAGGAGTTTGGTCTTGATCTTACAGCCTTGAAGATATTTTTTAAAAATGTAAGGAAATTGCATAAAACCTGACCTGAGCAGTGGATAGAGTGGAGAGGAGAGATTATTTAGGAGTATTGACGTGAACATTAATAGTTGTGAGATTCCAGCATATCTTTGCCTACAGCATAATCCTTGCCTTCTAAGAGAAAGGCTGATGTGATACGGTGCCAGGTTGAAAGCCAAACCCCTCCTTGGGGGAGTTTCACTGAAGACCTCAGTTTGCAGCTAACCTGGATCTGAGCTGCTGCCTACTGGTCTTGAGATGGAGAAGCGTCTTCTGGCCACAGTGAGCATGGGATAGGAGACAAGAGAATATAAAAAAGACAAAAGCAATTCTTAATAATGGCTCTCTAAAGTCAATCAATCCCCGATTTCCTGTCATTTTTCCATTGCTGCCTTTTTCTAAGCAAAATTTCCAAGCCATTGAACTGAATTGCAACTTATGCACAGCCGGGTGTTGAGACAATTCAGTATATTCATTCCTTCTCTCTGAATTAGAGTTCACTATAAGTGTGCTTTTCTCTTGTTCACTTTGGGCTGCCAGGACAATTTAAAGGAGAATTTCAGCAGCTTGTGTCTCACGCACCATGTTCTCTTTGCAAACTGGAGTATATGTGTGGGCGTGTTTAAGTTGTCTCTATATTGCTTTCTAGAAAGGTTTGAGAAGATGAACAAGATGAGGAGTAGGGACCTATTAAAAGCCCAGATCCCCCAGTGACCTGAGTGGAGAACGTAGGCTGGTGATCAGATGGTCAATTATGTGTTTGTCAAAACACAGTGGGCTGCGTTCCAGACTGCCAGCTTTGGAGGCCCAGCTTCTGCCAACCAAATGTCATCTGGGAACATGCAACACTGGGCACTGTGAAGGAGTTTGAAATAGACCATGCCACAGCCAACCTACTGCCAGTCTTATAGCACCAATATGGCATGCACAGCCGGGCCCCATGTTTCAGAGCTCAGGAATTCACTGTACTCAATTCAAGGGGTCAGATGGGTTCATGTTTTCAAAGCCTATGTTCTCTGCTTTGAACACTGTGACTTGTTCCTCAGCAATTTCCGAGGGATTTTTCCAGTCACATCTCTGTGGAAACCACTCTTTTTGTGTTGGTTCTGAGAGCCTTGTAAAATGTCCCAGAGGAGGGGGTGAGGCAAACCTGCTCTGACAATGACTGTGACTCCTAGAAGGGATTCCAACTCTAAGGAAATTACATTAAAGGTGCATAGCTTTTAAAATATCAGGAACCACCTTGGCAACTTGTAAAAAGCAGAAGGGCTTTGCCTATTTTATAAAGTGATTTGCATATACCTGCATAAATAATGTCCCCACCTGTACTTTTATGTATTTAGGTTGAATAAATTAAATTCAGTGATCTTTAAAATATTCCGTGTCTTTCATTGCTCAGACACCATTTTCAAGACCCTTCCTCTTCATTCCCCTCCTGTGGCTGCAGTGACTATTTGTTTTTGAATCTTTTGACTAATTCTGAGAACTAAAGAACACTGCAGACCAGTCCACCACAACCAGGGACATTATCTCCCTCTGCTTGAATTTCTTTTTTCTTTTCTATCACTGGATCAAGAGTTCTATTTTTTTCATAAGAGAAAATGGAGGAGTTTATTATTAATGTGAAAGCATAGCCCAAGAAAGGATTAATACACAGCTCAGAGATATTAGCCTTATATTATTTTTCTATTAGCCTTTTCTTTCCTCCTTCCTTCTCTCTCTTGCTCCCGTACTGTTTCTCTCTGTCTCTTAACAAGGTTATTATGTAGCACTGGGATTACAGACCTGTGCCACCATAATTGGATTAATCTTTACTTTCTGTGGCCATTGCCAGTACCCCTTCAGAAACCACCTGTCTATTAACTCCTAACAGTTTTAACTTGGGCCTCTACATCAAAGCCTGTTCAGTAGACCAGCCCTAACCACATTCATCCTGCAAGATATTAGGCATTTGCCATATTTTGCGAAGAATCATGTTTAATGGGGTTAATATATATAGTTCTTGCTC